CCCCCCCCCCTTTCCCGGCCCTTTTAATTTTTGTTTTTTGACAAGTGAGCCTTGAAATCCTGAGCCCTAGAGGCGGGTCCAGCCTTCACCCTGTGTCCTGGTTGATAACGTTTTAAGTTGGGCTCGCCCCTCGGTTACATGCAATTAGAAAAAATAAATTTATTCAAGCATTAGGGCAAAAATGCCTCGATGTAACCCCATTTTGGACTTTAGCTGTAAAAATTCTCGGACTCTTAAGTGGACATGCTTGAATGAGTGCCCATAACTCCACAGAGATAAATAATATTTTAGCATTTGGGAGAGACCACCTTATAAATGTTGTGGCTTTATGGGAACTAACTAAAAGATTTAAGTTTGCAGGGTATGGTCTGTATAAATTGCCTTGTAGCTTCTGGTTGCCTTCCTTATGCATAAATTGCACAAAGTTCATGAATAAAAGCAAAAGATGCCATATGCAGTTAGGGCTGCAGTGGGATTTTCTGCAGGAGCTGAGAATCTGTGCTGACCCTCGGGGAAGATTTGAAAGCACGACTGCTGAAAGGTATCGGGGGGAATTTTCCTTTTACTTTTGTGAGTACTGACTGTCATGCGAAAACAAATACTGCTTATTTTTGCATTATTTCCTGGTTATTCTTGCATTAGGTGTGTGGCAGGACCATAGGGCGTAATCCAGCAGAGACTATAGCCTGGGCTGTGAGGGGTCTGTCTGCAAAGGTGTGAAACCATGCCTGCACAAAGATTAATTCAGTTTAATAAAAAAAATAACGTAATACTTAGCAACTGTTACAATTTTTATGATTGATGCAGAAAAAAGTTAGTGTTAATGCATTGAGGTGTGTCGTGCTGTTATGGCTGTTTAGGAGAAGCGTATAGATAAGCACAGGGCTTCCTGCCCTGCTTTCCTGGGGTTCACCCGATGGCCCGTGGGCTGCTGGCTGCCTGCCTGCCTGTCCGGGGGTGCTTCCCAGCATCCCGAGTCACTGACCAGGAGGAGTAATCAGCATCCTGTGTGCTTGGCAAGCACCATTCGGTCGTGCAAGAAAGGAGAGCGGACTGGTTTCCAGTGTGGTCTGGCCTCCCCCACACTGGTGTGGATATAAGCTGAGGGGCTAAATTTTCTCCTTGCTCTGTGCCAAATCTTAAAAAGATCTGTTAAGCCAGTCTGAACAAGAGGGCTCTCTCTAGCATGAGTGGGAGAAGCTTGGGAAGTCCTTGGCTCAGCTTCACATGTGGACCAAGTCACAGTCTTCACACAATCATCCCCTTTGAAGTGTTGCCCCCCCCCCCCCCCAGACCCACAGACTCGGCAACATGTGCCGACCT